TCATGTAAACGAGGCTTATGACTTTTGTGGGATCAGTTTTCTTGACATTGACAGTCAGACTACGAGCTGGTTGGGACATGATGACAGACGCACTCGAGTTGGAGCCGTTGGAGACACGGCGTCTTTTGCACATGTTTTGTTCCATTCGCCTCCGTCCTCAGGTTGATCCACGGTAGGAGCGTCGTCGTGCATGTCGGGCGCTTCATCAGGTCAAGGCTTCCTCTACATATAGATGCTTGTCAAGTGGCTCGCTTCCCCATTGGAGCCGGTTTGCCATCGTCTTGTAGCCAAACGCCACGCGCTGGCGCTCGCCTCCGACACTAACTCTCGTGTAATACTTTTTCGGCTATGTACGAACATGGTTCGGAACCGCCCGATTCAAAGGAAACAGCTACAACGTCATCATCATAATTATCATCTCGTGGTGGGCGCTCGGCCATCTCCGCGCGGCTGGCACCGAGATGGCCAATATGAATTTATGGCACAATTATGGGTTTCTTCTATCTCTTAGTTTTTGTTGAATGCTGACGTCTTGCCTGATTTTTTGCTGAGCCTCTCGACCACTGATGTTTATAAGGAGATTAGATACCCTGCGTGCTTTAGTCGAGAGACTTGCCCGTCGAAGCTCGTTGGGATGGAATGTGAGTAGGAATCGGTAAGTGAGTTTTTGAGGCATAACCGCACTATGCTCCTCTAAACGAGTTTTGAATGCGCTGAGTTGAATGGTAAGATACGTTTTTTCTACCTGGACTTATAGGATCAGAATAAATGTTGGGTTAACATAAAAAAGTCGAAAATCCCGGAATCTTGAAGGGTGTTCGTTCGAAAATTTGTGAGTGATATCCACAGGGCTTATACAAATTTTAAAACTGTCGCGAGAACGTCGGCAACCGTGATGTTAAAGTTGGGACCATCGCAAGTTAGAACGACTAAAAAATTGTCGACATACAGGGAAACTCTTATAGTTCCCTTAGCGAAAACTAATACGTTTGAAATATACCACATTCTAATTTCAGTGTATTTGAAATACAATTCATAATTGTAAGTACACGAAAAATATACCGAAAATATAAACTTCTTTTTTTGTTACTTAGTACTAAAATATACTTCTAAAAATCATTTTAAAATACCTTTACTTAAACTACATTTGAAGTTCCCTTCATGCGTTTTGAAATATGTAAATACTAAATTAATAAGCACAAAATACCTTTCACATATATTTCTTGAAATATTTATTTAATTCATGCAAAATATACTCCAACCCTAAAAAAATGGAGCAATCAAGAATACGTGCAAAACACTCTTAAAATACCTGAAAATCGTAAATACTGTTGCGTTATACTCTAAGTACCTTTTGACTGCAATACTTTGGTAGTTTGACTTAAACTACCAAAATATTTAAAAGCTCCCCTTCTGAAGTTCACTTCAAGCAGATATGGAGTACACTGAAGCGCCTAAATACATTTGATTAGTTTGGCAATTGAATTGCGCAGCATCGCACTGATAAATCAGCCCAGTTTATGTTATTGTTTCCTTTTTTCTATCAAGAACACACCTGATCAGTTCCTTGCACACCAATCACAAACGGGGTTCGGGAACTACAACCACAACATTTGCTGATGCTGGAAAGCTTCAGCAGGTGCTGTGAACAGATACGTTTGGCGTGGTTTTGTTAGTACAATGTTAGTTCACTGAACGTGTATACTCACCATTGTACGTGATGTGAATAGTGACTTTAATACAGTGACATTAACTGCCATATTAAATAGTCAACCACTAAAAAGGAAAGGCAAAACAACTACTGTAAAATATTTATTTTTCTCGGGCTCAATATTTCGCGATTTAGATCAAAGTTGGAGTTTTGGAATAATTCGCAAATTCTAATTTTCGCGACGCGCTGGGATCGCAATATAGATTTTAATGATTTTACATTTTGCCGGAATTGTTCACGGGACCTATTTTTCGGAATTGTAGGCGATTCGCCAACTTTGCGAGAATTAGGTCCTCACGAAAATAAAGTCGTTTACAGTATTTTAAAGTGAAGAAACTGCCTTGATTCGCTTCGCCCTGAGTGGTGCTACGCAGAGAAGCAATAACACGTATTTTATGAGCCGTTTGTGTGGATATTGTTTTAGGGACTGTGCCGAATTGTTATTAGTTGTACCAATGCCTTTTAGTAAGAGATATCGTCCACGAACTTCAAAACACTGTTTCCCCCTTGACAGACTCCCGAGGAGAAGATCGAATACTTGTAACCTTAATAAGCGCAGAGGTAGTCACCGAAAAAATGTTTACCTTCAATATGTAGGCTATATAAGGCTGTAGAGCAGTCAACGGGACTGTGAATGAGCTCTTCAGTGCGTCATGGTGTTTGTGTTTGTGTTCATTTCTAATGTGGCTTTGTGAGATGTATTTAGTAGTGCCTTCAAATACCACAGGGACACCATTTGCTGTCAAAATCGAAAATAAAGAAAAAATTGTGTAACCGGTTTTTAATCCACAAATGGCATCTTGAGTGTGAAGGAATCACATTTTTGGTATATCTAAAACATTTTTTGATTCATATTTATAGTGTATTTTGAATACATTACGCGCGTATTTCGAATGCGGCCAAAATAATACAGAATAAATACAAAATGAATATTCGTACTAAATATATTTCAACTTCGTTTGAAGTACGGCCTCTTTTTGCTAAGGGTTTTGGGGATATCAACATTTGTTTTTTATTTCCTGCCGTGGATAGAGGTCGCTGAAGACAGGGGCAATACACGATCCTATGCAAACTCCTTTCTTCTGTAGCTAGGGCTGACTATCCAAGTAGCGAAGGTCGGCTTGAGATAGATATTGATCAAGTTCTAAAAGTTGCTTTGGGATGACCCCGACGTATTCTGAAAGTCGATAGCGCCATAAATGTCTATGTTGTCCTCTATGCACCTTAAATGTAAGACTAGACTACCTAGGATACAATGACTTTAATTGTAGTTTTTTGTTTGCGTTTTAGCATCTTATTGAAGAAAAAGGCTACTCGGGGTGACAGTGCGCTATTTGATTCGAACCATTATTCGCACACCCCTACTGGTATCACAATAGGAGACGTCAAATCTCCCGCGCTGTCGCGACCGCAATTCACACCTCTCTGTTTGTAAACAACTCATCCGCTGGCTTCCCATTGGCAGACCCCTCACGACTTCCGGTTCAAGGCTTCCGGTCCGGCTGGCGCGTTGAAAACATGGCCGTCTTCGCAGGAAGGCGTACGGGTTGCTCGTTCGTTTTTTTTCTTTTACCCGGTTCTAGAAGCAGCGTATTAGCTAGAATTACATGACTTTATTCCGACAAAATGTCCTCTTCTTACTTTAGGAAGTTGGAAGAACCGGCGAGAGACCGCTACCGTGAAAAGCTGACCATCGCAGGTGAGGAGCTTCCAGATCCGCTAGACGCTGATGTTCGCAAAAACGTGTTCTCCACAGACGCTCGCCACTGGCCGCGACTAGAAATAGGCGATATCTACATCTACCTCGTGGAAGGGATATGCTTCTACACGAGAGAGCAATTCAAAAGTTACAAACTAGAAGACGGTTACAACCTGTTTTTAAACGGAAAGGTACGCGATGCTTGTTCATTTGGGGCTACGATAGAGAACGCTCGGATGGTTCTCATCACCGGGCAAGTGGAAGCTAGTCAGACACTTGGAAAGTACCACCAGCCTTGGGCCGTGGTGAAGAAAAAGGGCACAGTCCTAAGCGCCCACTGCACCTGCATGGCAGGGTGAGTAGTTCGTTTTTTTCCGTTAGTTTTGATTGCTATCGGATCGCAGCCACACGGCCCCTCGCGTTCCAAATCGTTGTGTGCTTACAGGCTCGGCGGGGCCTGCAGTCACGTAGCCGCGCTCCTGTTTCGCGTCGAAGTTGATGTGAAGTTCGGCATTCATGACCCAAGCTCAACCTCTGTCGAATGCCACTGGATTACAGCATCTTCCACTGCTCAGGTATGCATTCAGTGCATGCTTCCGTGTTAATGTTTTTTTTTTCCTGGCCTTCTTTGAATTAGCGGGAAGCATATTCCCGTGCCCAAAGCAGCCCAAGTCAGACGTTCATTTTAAAAGCCTTCAGAACAAACTACTTTAAAAAATTGGCAAACTAGCGTACGCCGAAAGGCACATGCAGTCAGTATCGTGAGCTGATTTGTCAATTTTTTAAAGGAGTTTGTTATGAATGCCTCTTAAATGACGGTCTGACCGAGGTAAGCTGTCAAATATTTCATACAATACTTCAGGCTAGTCGAGTGGCTTCAATTGACTTTATCAAGCCATCGAAGAGGAGGCGGATAAACACAGTCTCAACACCCAAAGAGGTCTCGTCTCACCCAGAGGCAGCAGCAGAACAACTCAAGGACTTCCTCAAGGCAGTAAACGTACTTACTATCCATGACGCGATAACAGAAAAACACGAGGAAGGAGACAAATTGTGGCGAAGCTTCGGTGGTGAAACTGGCTTTATTTAAAATCAAGGAGAGACCTCTAGCCCTGTCGTGTTAACAAGACGACATTGAAGAATGGGTGCAAATACACACTTGATGTCGTAAATTGTAGTTCATTGTTAAGTTGACGCCTTGACACAAACTACAAATTGCAGGCTCTCAAGGGCACATAATAGAATGTCAACAGGTTACTTTGCTCGGAATGTAGAGATGTAGCCTCATTTGTTTTGACCCGTAAATATTGAGGTGACACTATAATCGACCAATGACCCTTTCCAGAAATTGGCACCCGACACGCTGGTGCTCAGGAGTCTTACAGACAGCGAAGACACAGACACAGCTGCCAGTGGTGATGTTGAAGACGACGAGGATCCACTTCAAGTGCCTGAGACTATCGTGGACATGGTGTGCCTCTACGGTTCACTTAATGAGTTAGCTGCGAGAGAAGCAACATTCTCAGTGACTAAGTGCAACCAGGTGGAACTCTGCACACGTGCTCAGGCAAGCTCGGACGAGTGGTCAAGGCAAAGAGTGGGCAGATTAACAGCGTCCATACTTGGAAAAGTACTCTCGTGCTGCACTGGGGCAGAGGGGATTGTCTCCCAAGTGATGGGCTATACCAAGACACCCGATGTGTTCAGTGTAAGATGGGGCAGGGAGGAGGAGGTCAAGGCTCGAAATCGCCTCATTGCCGATGAAGCACACAAGCACAGTGACTTTGAGGTCAGGAAGTGTGGTTTGTTTGTGGATTCCGAGAGGCCATATTTAGGAGCTTCCCCTGATGGTGTTGTGTCTTGTTGTTGTTGCACAGACGCAGTACTGGAGATTAAGTGTCCAGCGTCATGTGCAAACCTTATAATTGGCGAAGCTAAGGTAAGACTGCCATACCTTGATGCTGATGCACGTCTAAAAGAAGATCACTTGCATTATGCTCAGGTCCAAATGCAGATCGCACTTGTTAAAACAACCAGAGCATTCTTTGTCGTCTTCACAACTGTGGACATAAATGTGGAAGAAGTGAAGTTTAATGAGTGCTTCTGGAACACGGCCGTCAGTGAGGCAGAGGAGTTCTACTTCAGTCACATTTTCCCTGAAATTCATGGCAGAGAACTGCTGAAAAAAATTGAGCATGCAAACACCATGTGCATTTGCAAAACACAGAAGTCGGGATCTGTCCTACGATGCAAGTTATGTAAAGTAGCCGTCCACCTGAAATGTGTGAAACTGCGACGTACGCCTAAAACATGGGTGTGCTTAGTTTGTAAACTTGCAAAATAGACCTACTGTTTATTGCAAGTGGGTTAGTACCAGTGGTGTCAATTTAGCAGTTTTCTCGCAAGATTTAGCGGAGTGGTGTGTTTAGCTAGAGAAATTGTTTATTTGCGGATGGCGGGATTTTCAGCGGTTTCAAATGTCTTATTATTGACGGTTTCAAATGTGCTCCATCGGCAAAAAGTTCATTGTGATTTAGCAGTTGGTTACTAGTCAAGACATGTCAAGATCACCATCCAAACAGCAACAGTGCGGGTAACACTCGTGACATCATGGAGACATTGTAAAGGAAAACAGCCGAACACGACACCGACTTGCGCGCACATGTTTGAATTTGTTTTACAGCTCGTAGGAAGAACGCTCACGACATCATTGGTGGTGGGCATCGGAACACGAAACTTGTGAGACCACGTTGTAGATGAAGTCGCTGACATCTTTCTTTGAATATGTCGTGTTGCCATCAGTTTTTGGTGAAACAAGTGAAAGAAGAGAAACCTCTAACTGTATTTTTAATATGTATAGATCTTGTAAACTAATCAAGGAAATAAAATGTTAAAAAGGTATTCTTGCACAACATTCTAAATTTGGCGGTGTTTCGGAATTCTTAGTGCATGTTTCTGGTTTCTAAGTTGGCAACGCTGGTTAGTACAAAAACGATTGCTCATGCTTTGTGGTGAAAATAGACTCTGAAGTTGCAGGACTTTTGTTGCAGTACCTGACTTAATGATACCGAGTTTGCATGCACAAAACAATCTGGTACCAAAAATCAAATTAGGTTCGAACATATTATAGGATTCACTTCTCTTAACGGGGCGATGAAATGATTCTTTATCTCTTCTAAATATTACTCGGGATGACTCTTTTTTGACAATCATAAGACAAAATGCATATTAGCTTTTTTTCACGAAGTAGCAGTCACAAAAAAAAAAAAGTGCTCACTCCCCCAGCAATACATGTCGCCATCTGATCTCGTGCTGATTATGTCTCTAATATTCAACATAACCACATGCTGAGAACGCCAATGTACGGTGGTCACCAAACTTATACGGAATAAGCGAACTGCAAACTATCTCATGAAAGAGCTATCGTGTCATGCTTATCAAGTTTTTTTCCTGCTCACGACGAGAGGCTGCTTCAATCTTGTCCCGAGCAGCCGCAAAACTTGACCAAGCCCGCCAAGATAGTGCTCCCATGTAATAATGCAAAGTTATCATGTTCCGTACAAGTTTAGTGACCACTGTGCGCTGCACATGGTGTTCTCTCGGCTCGCTCTGAGTTTGACTATTCCCCTCATGACAGTGACTAACTCCAAGTCGAATGCTCATACAGAGTTTGCATGTAGCGATAACCACGGATGTATCAGCTGCAAAATAGGCATGACGGATATATTAAATACACTCAATGCTCAAGAAAAAAGATCATTTCAGAATAGCAGTACCAAAATACTGGTAAGAAAAAAGAAACACTTACACTTTTTGTAAAGAAATTAGCCACATATTCATTCCCGAAATCCCTTGCAAAAACCTACCCGTGTAAAACACATCATCTGAGTCAGCTGCACTGCTGAAGCACAAATGCTTTGACAAACCTATTTTTTAAGCAGAAAGGGCTGCAGATTTGCCAGGGCAGCGCAAACAATCAACGCTTTGTCAATTGTGCAAATCTCGCCATCATCACGCTTCTTTAAGAAAGAAATTGGTAGAACCATTTGAAAGATCCTGAACACTTTGAGGCGTCTTATTGCACGCTCCACGTGGATGCGAGCACGAGACAGTTTGCGGGAAAGGGTTACCTCCGCACCCGAAAGCTGATTTTTCTCTTTAGTGAATGCAGGTATTAACAGCCTGGCACCTTTTGCAGCAAACATCTCTTGGCACCGAAATCCCCTGTCCACGAGGTACACATCCCCTTCATTCGCAAGGTTCAAGAGCCCAGACTTCAACGTCAGTTCCTTATCGGAAACCTGTCCCCCCCATGCCCCCGAGATGAAAGTAACGGCTCCACTTGGTGACACAGTAATAAGCACCTTGAGAGTATTATGGTGCTTATGCCTGGAATACTTCTGGCTTCGAGCCAGCATGTAGGCAGGTTTTTGTATAAAAATCTCTGTGCAGTCTAGCACACCAATCACATTCTTGAAGATGGGATCACAAAACGCAGTTGGCAGGTCGCGGCTGACAGCCCGTCTTGAGGGCCATACAATCAACTTCCCGAGGTTATGTGAAGGTATGTCTAGCCAGGCGTGGAATACTGCGCCAACTGTCGTTACGAACACCTTGAACCTGCATGCGAGGTCTTCATTCAACAAACCCAGCCTCAACTTCATCAGCACCAGCACAAGCTGCTCCTGTGGCAGAAGACAAGTGACGTCGGGCCGCCACACACTCACAATGAACGTCAGGAGTGCATTGAACAGATGTAAGCTCACAATGCCTGTGTAAAATTTAACCCTAGTGTCTCAGTGCAACGCTGCCTGTGTTGCAGAATCTTTTTTGATGCCAGCAATCAAATTCAGGTTTGTAGCCTTGTACTCTTTGAGGAGGTTGCTGGTTTCTTGTAACTGATGCTGCGTTTCAGCAAGGGTACTCTTCAGTCTGGCGTTTTCTGCTTTCAGATGTTCAATGTCCTTGCTTGAAAGTGTGGTGACCACCGACAGATCACATCTGGTGCTAGACTCACAACACAACACTGCTTCGATGTTTTCTGGGTCAGTGGGAGCCTGGTCACACGAAACATCCTTTGGCTCGGCCGCCCATCTTTTCGTGGACCTTGCCTGTTGTCGGTTGTACCTTTGCACATTTTGGCTGGTGGGTGCCTTTCGATAGAGAAACCGTGACGGGGCATAATCTGGGTGCACTGGGTCGTCTGAAGGAGCTCCTGTAAAAGGAATAGGAAGGCACCTATCAGTTCAGATGAAATACAGGGTACAAGGTGATTCATTTCCAGTCCCACTTTTTGTGCATTGACTTCATGCATACATAAATGTCGAGTGTACATCCACACTTTGCTAAGGCGACCGCCCTGTTTTGGAACATGCCACGGTACCCATACAGGAAGTTGGCCAGGGTGCAGTGTATACCATTGGCTAGATTTCACTACTAATATTACGACAAATTTAAGTTCATTAAAGCTGGGAAAGACAGACATAGTGGGGACGTGTCTTTCGCAGTTGCATGATTGCGCGTTCAAAACAAAAATTACATGGTGGGTACACACCGCTTCATAAAGCAGCTCGTTGTGAACGTAAATAAAAATTTAAGCTTTGCACCAAAATTTGGTTCGAAGCCTGTGTTTCTGCTCGTAAAGCTAGTCACCATTACACTTCTACCCGGCCAAAACTCTGAGCCTCTGAGTTTTCGCTGTTACCCACACAATTTTGAATTGTAAAAAAAAAACAAAAAAAACTGAAGGCTTGCGGCACACAACAGGGAATGCTGCGTTTCCTCCTGTGTTTTCACATCGGTGTTGACACATCCGACTGTGAACTTTAGTCATAGCGGCAAATGCAAATCCGCGATTCCTAGAAGCGCCGCGGAACACTCGTTACTGGACCTAATCGCCCGATCCGCGCGAACCAGGGATCGAAATAGCGGCTGCGGCAAGCAAAATCAAACGGTAGGCTTAGAAATCCAGGGAACTACCGGAATTTTGAACGAAACTTGACCGGCTGCTACCCTTCTGTCTTGACGGAACGCTCGTATTTCCGTTTTTTTTAATTGTTTTTTAATGTGTCTTGACAGCGCTGGAAGTGTAAATCACCACTCAAAACAAATAAAAACCTTAGTGGCTCACCTTGTATGAAATGGGCGGAGCATATTCGGCTGTTGTCGTTCGGTTTCCACTTGTCCCTCTTCATGGCTTGCAGCCACGAAGCTCTGCGCTCGGGGTCTGCCGGAAAGCGGTGCATTCTCACAGTGGAAAGTAAGTTGGTCCCCGAACGCAGGCTGCAACCAGGACGCTGCAACACAATCCCTTGCTTGGCAGTAGACGGTTCGTTTGCGAATTCATATCAATCGGAGAGCTTAATCTAATCGCGAAATGACAAGAAACATACGAACGAAAGACAAGCTGCGTCGCGGGCACAGCGGAGAAGAGCCGCTGAGCGAGACCGACCGGAAGTCTCCGGGGACCCTTTCCGGTTTGAGTGACTGGTGGCGCATTCGTGATGAGCTTTACTCGAAAGAAGGAGAATAGTATCAGTTGACAGCGTCCCTCACGCTCGCTTCGGTGAAGGGGAGGAAAAAGGAGGGAGAGGGCACGGCAAGACGCGCGTAGCGCTTATAACAGGCGTCTTAGTACAGGAGGCGTAGATCAGGCCCAGCTTCTGAGCATGCTGGCAGTGGTGCAGTTAGATGGCTCATATCACGTGTACTCCGAAAATCGGAGACGGATCCTCGTGGCACCAAGTGAAGTGGCTCCGATGACTTCCAGGGAAAGCTAGGCTTATAGTTGCCACAAATAAATGCAAGTTTCTGAAGCGATGCAACGATCGTTCTGAAAGTGTCGTCGTGGTCGTCGCTTTTCGTCATCAACATTTTCCTTGCATTAGGTCTGTGTTGCGACAAGAGGCAGGGCAAGTGTGGAGCACATTTCGCGCTTCTCCTAAGTTCCGTGAACCAACAATAATGGCGATGATGATAATTCGCGGCTTTTTTGTTCTATTGTTTGGTTTAGTTTTGTTTGGTTGCGAGCGCCCCGCAGTACTAGTTTCTACCGGCGAATGCAATGGTCTCGGGAGCACAGCCAGTGAGCGAAAAATATAGGAGGCCATGCCGCCGCACACGGTTTGGTTTGGAAAGCGTTTAATGCTAAAGAGAGGGTTGGGCTAAGCGGAAGTGCGCCGGTGACTGCGAGGTCTGGGCGCTGGCATAAGGATTAAGGAGCCGGCCAATCATGGGCGTGTTCCAAAATTTTGTACCTTGGCGTTCTAAAACCTACCCGCTTCCAGCGTTTTTCAATCTGTGTTGTCACGTGACACGACCCTCCGGGGTAACTCGGATTCATTTGGGTAAGATTCGGAACACAGCCCACATGTGGATGTCCTGCTTGGCCTTGAAAAC